TAGTACTGTTCTCGCTCTCACAAAAAAGTAAATTAGACAGCCGAGTTACTTTTTTTATTTTTATTGCCATTTTTAACCCTCCTTTTTTTCATTATAAAATCCATGTATTCTTTCTCCTTCGTCTCCTCCTTCTTTTCCTCGTTCTCCTCTTCTTCTTCTTCTTATCCTTGTTCTTCTTCGTCTCCTTCTTTCTGCTGCTGCTTCTGTTGTTTCTCTCCTTCTTCCCTTTTCTTCCGTTTCTCCTCTTCTCCATCTTCTTCTCTTTCCTCCTTTTCTACTACTGCTGCTGATGCTTCTTCTCCACCTATTCCTCCTTTTCCTTATCCTCTTCTTCTTTTCCCTTTGCTTCTCCTTCTTCTTCTTCTTCTCCCTTTGCTTCTCCTTCTTCTTTTTTTTTCTTCTTCATTTTCTTGTTCTCCTTCCTCTTTTTCTGCTGCTGTTTTTTTGCTTCTCCTCTTAATCCTCCTCCTCCTCTCCTCCTCCTCCTCCTCCTCCTCCTCCTCCTCCTCCTCCTCCTCCTCCTCCTCCTCCTCCTCCTCCTCCTCCTCCTCCCCCTCCTCCTCCCCCCCCTCCTCCTCCTCCTCCTCCTCCTCCTCCTCCTCCTCCTTCTCCTCCTCCTCTTCCTCTTCCTCCTCCTCCTCCTCCTCCCCCCCTCCTCCTCCTCCTCCTCCTCCACCATTTCCTCCCCTTCCTCCTTTTCCCATCCCTCGTCCTCTCCTCTTCCTGCTCCTCCTCCTCCTCCTCCTCTTCCACCTCCTTCTCCTACTCCTCTTCTTTCTCCTCTTCCTCCTCTTCTTCTTCTTCCTCCTCCTCCTCCTCCTCCTCCTCCTCCTCCTCCTCCTCCTCCTCCTCCTCCTCCTCCTCCTCCTCCTACCGCCTCCTCCTTATCCTTCTTCTCTTCCTCCTCCTCCTCCTACTATTACTACTCCTTCAAAGTCTCAGCCTCTTCATCCTCATCCCCATCCTCATCCACTTCCTCATCCTCTTCCTCTTCTTTCCCTTCTCCCTCTCCTCATTCTCTTCATTTCCTTCCTCCTTACACCTATTTTTTTCCCTCTTCTTCACCTTTTCTCTCCCCTCCCTTTTCTTTTCCATCTCCTCCTTCCTCTTTTTCTACCTTCCTTTTAATTTCCTTCCCACCGTACGAGGCATCAACATATGCACCAACAGGTACGTATCTCAGAAAATATGCCTTTCAACAGGTGTGTCCACTGCTGGTCCAACAGGTAAGTTCACCTGCGGACTGTGCCGGAAAATGCATTCATCAAACAGCTTTCAAGTCCTTTTCAATAACTGGCGTGCCTTCAGTGTTCATCATTCACCTGCTGGGCCAGATGCAAAGGAACCGAATTCCG